ATGTGTTGTATTGTTTGTCCCAAAATGTATATGTGTTGTATGGTTTATCCCAAAGTGTATGTGTTGTATGGTTTCTCTCAAAATGCATGTGTTGTATGGTTTCTCTCAAAATGTGTATGTGCTATTTATCTCATAATGTGTCTGTCTATGTATCCTAGTGCTCCAAATCAAGCTGGATCACTATTAAAATAGGCACGAGGCACATTCCTACACCCTACTTAACGAAATTTTGCTTGCGTCTTGATATCTAACCTGAAGGTACGGCCGTTTACAAGGTCGCCGAGTATGCGCGTCGATTTGGTGTGCCAGTCCTTGCGGACGGTGGCATCACGTGCGTGGGACACATCACTAAGGCTCTGTCTATCGGTGCGTCTACAGTCATGATGGGCAGTATGTTGGCTGGAACCAACGAGGCGCCCGGAGAGTACTTCTTCATGGACGGGGTTCGTCTTAAGAGATACAGGTATGGGTGTTGCGCTCACCGGTTGTTGTGTAGGGTATTAGATGTCTTGATTGTTGCCAAGTCTAGCTAATCCGGGTAGAGTGTGTATGATTTCACTTAGTTAATTTACGATAGTGGAGAAAGATTGAGATTGGCCTACTTGTTTTTGCGTTTATCCTATGTTGACTTTCCAATGGCAACAAAGTCATCTTTGTATTCGAGCTTAAACTACTACCACACTAACAAGATATCACATACATGTATATCTTGTTTTGCAGAGGTATGGGATCGCTTGAAGCTATGTCGCATAGATCCGGTGCGTCGGCACAGAGCCGTTACTTCTCCGAAGATTCCGGTGTAAAGGTAGCCCAGGGTGTTTCAGGAGCCATCCAAGACAAGGGAAGTATCACTAGTTTCATTCCGTATCTCATCACCGGCATGAACCACGGCTGCCAGGACATCGGCTGCACCTCGTTAACAAAGGTATGCAATAATTCTCTATCTGGTGCGCTCTATTTATGGATGGTGTGCTTTGAATATTAGTTTACTGATTTGTGTTATATACTATCGTATACGTGAGGAGTGCTTTTTAAGTTTATTCTATATCTTGTCTGGCTGGTTTTACCCGTGGAAAAAAAGTCCGGCTTTAGTGGAGCTCTCAGTCCTGGAGTGCGAGACTTTTCCATCTTTACAAAGGGCAGTGGGCATAACCGATGTGGACCATGTTGAACATCATAATTTTGGTTCGTATCACGAATGATACTTTCAAGTCAACAGACAGTCACTTATACTCACATGTTTCTATACTTCCAATCTCCGGCAACACAGCTGCGTGCCATGATGTATTCCGGAGAGCTCAAGTTCGAGAGACGCACGCACGCTGCCCAGTCCGAGGGAGGAGTGCATAGTCTGCACACCTACGAGAAGCGTTTGTATTAGACGCCCCTGCACACATATTCGAGCACAGAGGCAGGCGCTGGCTGGGTAGCCTATCTAGGTACCTGTTAACTCGGTGAGCTCGTCTGCCAATTACCCCCAACCGTCTTATGGGTGATATGGATCTCCGTCGTGCTCTGGCCCCCACCCGTTTTATGGGCTAGCAGGACGTAAATTTTAGTACAGTCTGTATGAATAAATAGTACAAAAAAGTACCGGCTCCTTGAAGTCTTCGTGCATCTGTTTAACTGAGAAGGGTTTTCAAGAACTATACACGTACACCACCTCGCATCTACTACGACGTCCTAATGCCATTACACGCAAGGCTTCTCGCATCTACATATCGAATCATCGCCTTACGCCGTAAACAATATTTGAAAAGGATGTTGTCTTCGATTACACACCTGTTATTAGAAAATGTAATGATATTCAGTTATGTTAAGGTACGGAAGGCGTTTGCAACATCCAAGTATAAGGCGAAGAGTTCACACCGGGGTCAACCTTTTCTTCGTTTCATCGCTTGTTTCTTCATATATGTAATATGTATGTAACATACAAGCTAGGGATAAGTATCCTTTCGGAGAGAGGACTGCCGAACAGAACGCTCAGTTTATGATACAATGACGGACTAAATTGACAAAAGGACTTCGGCACTTGCACCTGATGCACATCCATGGGTGGTCTATATGAGAGTTGCGACTAATTCCCTTCTGAGGTTGCGACTAATTCCTATATGAGAGTTGCGACTAATTCCCATATATATGCACACAGTATACTCATTCTGTCGTCCCTGGGAATACGCTGAGTGTCTTTTTAACAAGGGTCTTCGTCTCATAGCTGCCACTTCGAAGAGATACTTGCATATTATCTCAGTCTGTTTACGTCACCAGGATGTTCACGTGGACATCCGAAAGGTCCAGTCGATGACGTCATATATTTCATTTTGCCGATTGTCCACAAATGAACAACGCGTGATGGTACAAAGGGAAAGCGCATATTAAATGTATATATAAAGATAAGCCGCTGTGCGGCTGTGCGGGCACTAGTATAATCGTGATACTACGAATACGATGAGGGTACTAGTCTCTTACGTAAGTAAGCGTTGCTCGGGCTCTGTTTACCAGCAGGCCTGGCGTTATCATGCAGCGTCCGAAGTTTCTGCATCGTTTTTCCGGAGTCGAGTTTTGAACTATAGAAGCATCCAATTGCAGCCCTATAGAAGCATGTCTCAGAGGCCGTCAAGTGCCAGTCCCACCGCCCAAAAGGTGGATGACGAACAACTTAGTCTGACACAGACACACAAACCTAGTCCTGCACATAGTCAGCATAGTACTATAGAGCCAAATGCGTCATCGCTCACTTCATCAACCAGCAATATTCTACTGTACAGTACGTCCATGCGTGTGCTCGGAATTGAATCGAGTTGCGATGATACGGCTGCATCGGTTGTGTGTGGTGATGGGGTGGTCTTATCAGACGCAAGACACTCACAACAGAAGGAAATGTCCGAGCTATACGGAGGCGTGTATCCCAAAGCCGCCGCATTAGGTCATGCAAAATACATTGACCGCGTGGTTGAGAAGGCACTTGTGGATGCTAGTTGCACATTGGCAGACATAGATCTGGTAGCTGTTACGATTGGTCCTGGGCTGGCACCGTGCCTATCGGTAGGTCTGGGGAAAGCCAAGGAACTGGTGAAGCTGCATGATATACCACTTATGTGCATAAACCATCTGGAAGCACATGCACTCACCGCACGGCTGATCGATCAAACACTGGAGTTCCCGTTCATGGTACTGCTGGTGTCTGGAGGTAACTGTCAGCTCGTGCTAGCCGAAGGTGTGGACGAGTATCGACGGCTGGGCCAGACACTTGACGACGCACCAGGGGAAGCCTTCGACAAGACGGCCCGGATTCTAAAAATAGAAAGCAGTGATATCAAAGGGGGGGTGGCTGTGGAACGAGCGAGTGAACGCGCCCGTGCACGTGGTGATGCGCCTGTGAAATTTAATGAGCCGATGATCAGGCGCAGGGATTGCAATTTCTCTTTTTCTGGCTTGAAGACCAACTTAAGGCGGAAGGTGAAGCTGTATGCCGAGGCGCAATTCAACGGGACAGACGCCTGCAATGCAGGAGAAGAACATACCCAGACAGTACATTCTGCAGAGCACAGTACTGGAGGTGACTACATCGATCATGCACACACGGATGACACTTTCGTGTCCGCTGATAAGAAGATCAAGCAGCAGCAATACCACGACGCCCTAGCAGCCGGGTTCCAAGACGCCGTGTTCGACCAGATAGTGCGCAGAAGTGCCCGCGCGTTGCTGTACGCCGATAAAAAACTTGGTTTACAGGTTAAATCAGTGGTGATATCGGGCGGGGTGGCCGCCAATAGTGAGCTACGGCGACGAATGACTACGATGCTGCGTGAACGTGATGTTGCGTTGGCGTGTCCGCCGATTGCGCTGTGTACCGACAACGCGGTGATGATAGCGTGGGCTGCCATTGAGAGGTAGGAGTGCCACACGGTTGATGGCCTTGCGGGCTTGTTTACTTCTGGATGGTGCGGTGGTGGTGTATGTGGAGAGGGTAGTGTCCAGTGTTTGTATGTGGTTGTAGTGTGTAGGATGTACGGTATCAATCTGCCTGTGAGTGAAGACACGTCTGATGCACTGAAAGATGTACCCTGGGCGGTATCTGTCCGCGTACCTTCCCTATTACTACCTTTCCTATTACTACCGGCTGCTGTTAACAGTTGCAGTTAGGAACTAAGCCAACGAGATTGTGGGGATTTAGGCGAAGGACGTGTAGTGTTTATTTCGTTGTACTTACTAGTCTGCGCAATCACAGCGGTGTCACACATCTACCAAGTCCCACCCCGTTATATAGTCTCGTCGAAACCTATTACCCATTGATTCCAAGTGCAAAGCAGACGCCCTAAGTTTTTATAGTATTGGGTGTATAAGTATAATGTATACGTAAGTGTTTCATATCTCACACGTTCAGAACCGTTCTATGGTCTAATGGTGCCCCCTTTCGTTAACACCAGGTGTAAAGCAGGCACCTTGAGATTGATGTTGCTAGGTGCATAATTATATGCAGATCGAACTGTGTCCATTTCTTATGTTTTGACCTCCTTGTACGGTTGTTTGGTAATCCATTTCCATCAGTCAGGTAATTTTCAGGTGTCCTAGATTGCATAATGTTAACTTCATGATTTTATCCAAAACACAGCTGTGCCCTACATCTCCCATATACACCTCATTGTATCGTCTACTGACATCCCATCTCTACTATCATCAGGTGACTAGCAGGTGATTTTATGATTTCATAGTATTGAGTGCTTGTTTATACATATACACAGCTGTACCCTACATCTCCCATATCCACCCCATTGTATGGTCTTCTGACATCCCATCTCTACTATTATCAGGTGACTAGCAGGTGATCTATGATTTCATAGTATTGAGTGCTTGTTTATACAAATACACAGCTGTGCCCTACATCTCTATCCACCCCATTGTATGGTCTACTGACATCACATCTCTACTTTTACCAGGTGTAAAGCAGGCGTCCCGGTAGAGGGAGATTCAGAACAGGCACAGAGCATTCGGTTCCATCCTGACTGGCCTCTTGGTAGTGATATATCGAAAGCCGTCGCTGCGGCGAACATGAAAGCCTGGTGAACTATATAAAGCCGATTGGTCATTAGCGATCGTGTGGAGTGTTTCCAATGGACTCCGACGAACGTGTCTCGGCACTCACTATATCGTACAAACAAATTATTACTAAGGCAACGCTATATCGTACAAACAAATTTTTACTAAGGCAACACTATCTAACACAAAAAAAAGGTACAAAGGGAAAGCTTACCGAGACGTTCGGCGGATTGGTGGATTGGCTTTGCACACGGCTCCAACGGTAGTCACTCGGCTGTGGATTCCGCAGGGCGCAAACTTTGAGCGATGCAGTGCAGTGCAGCATTAAACCACTGTGTAGTGAGTTAAACCACTGTGCAGTGAGTTAAACCACTGTGCAGTGAGTTTAACCACTGTACAGTGAGTTGAACCACTGTGCAGTGAGATGAACCACTGTGTAGTGAGTTAAACCACTGTGCAGTGAGTTGTTGGAGGCGACACGCGACGCGTAGCACGCACAACACGGCAGAGCAACAGCGCGATTACAGCACTTTGGCTCTCGAACCGAAGAATGTGAGCTGAGGTACAAGCCGGTCGACACGTCTTTGCTCGACTGTCATGTTGGACAAGTAGATATTTCGTACTTCACCCGTCGTACTCTTGTTCTGTATGAGACCCACAGTGTGACACACACACTGAGAGAGAGAGCCATGCGAAGGATGAGGTGTTATCTATGAGCATGCGGTGGTGGTGTGCCTGCTACCTAACACCTTACCCATACGGTTGCTAGTTTCAAAGCAAACCCGAGCGACGTATGATTGTGAACGTATGATACTTTATCAATGATCAATAGACGGGAGTAGACACTAAGGCTATTGAGAGCTTCTGCAGTGCACGACAGCATTAGGCATACGTCTGTAATCTGCTATCTCCTATCTGAGGTGTAACGCAACAGCCAGCATTCAGGACGCCATACGGTGACGGCTATCAGTGTCAACATCCCAGAGTTTTCCACCTGTAACGAAACATTGAACCATTAGACCATTGAACTACCTTATTGCCAGTCGTTGGTAGGCCACTTCTAGTCAAATACGCTCAGTTGTCGATGCCGCACCCTCGGCTAAGAACAATGTGTGGGTACTCAGATAACTGAGGGTTTCTCGCACATTAGAGGAAAGTTCAGCACGGCGGTAGGCCTCACGGATTAGCTCATCTCCCAAAGATAGTGTTTCACAGGTCTTAGTTGGCAAGGAGGTCGTGAAATGTCACTCAACAGGTGGCTGTACTGTTCTGTTCTAAGGCGCCGTATACCCGTCCTATCGTTCTTTTAGCGAAATGTGGCTGGATTGCCGAGCGTTTGTATTGCGAGTGCTTACCAGTTAATTGGAATATTTGGAATGGACAAGGCGCGCAGCACCCCTGAGACAGTAGTACTTTGACAAAGTGGAGCCCGTCGATATCAAGGACCCCGATGAAGTTCCCATCCTTAATGTTCGTTCCGACCAATTTCACATACTCAGATTCAATACAACATAGCTCACATAATTTGATTTATTACGACTTACTAACGAAGCAATCAACTCCAAATATATTAGACTTAAAGGGTTTATGTGGTTGATCCTAAAGAGAAAATCAACCAACCTGTGATTCCAATGGTTTGTGGTACGTGCAGGTTGGCAGCCTAAAGTAAGATGCTTGCCACTAGATAAACTGTCCCTTTACATTTGTGTTCGGAACCGGCAGGGTCGGTTTCCACTTTCTAATACTCGTAACCAAATTAATTGAACTTCTGTTTGCTAAACTTAATAAAATTAATTGAACTTCTGTTTGCTACGAATAGAATCAATTGGAATATTGCTGCGAGGTGTATTGTTTTGACCACATGGAGGATCCACTCATTAGCAGGACGCAGCACGAGCAGCTTTCGATTTCCCAGGTCGCCTATTGTAGCCTCTACTAAAATGCATCACGGATGTGCTTGTGCGACGGACGAATATGCCCATTCTCCAATAGCAAATGCGTGGACCAGTTCATGGTGAACTTCATTTCTGCAAAATAAATGTACCTGAAAATGTGCATTTTTTAAAATATATGCAGTAGCGCACGAATCTGTTATTGAATTACACCGTGAGAACTATGTTAATAATATACGCATGCATATGTATTTAAAATACTATCTTGGCAGACCTTGGAATCCGGTGATGGCGCTACAAGCGAACCTCTACCCCTTGTTTTAACTTTTGTCCTGGCACAGAGAACACTGGTAGCTACTCTAAACTGTTTGTCTTTTAATAGTCCAGTTTTGAAGAGAAGGATATCAAATTAATAAAGCGTAAAGCAAGCTCACACTTCGGGTGGGGTGTACGGGGTGAAGAGTAGTATTCATGAGGCATTAATTACTCAGATGTCCGGTTAAGTGGGATGATACAAAAGGAGTGAGAACTCGACGTGAAATCTTGCAAACACTCCGTACCATTTCCGAAGTAGTCTATGTACTAGTTATCACTCGGACGTCTTCGACACTAGCTAACAATCTTCACGGCTTTACCCTCATTTGTACGAGTAAGTGGGTGTCACAGAAGTGTCCAGTCGAGCGGGGTCCTTCTGCTGTCTCAAATGTATTCGCTTACAATTCACTGCACTTGTAGGCTCCCTTTTTGTGTCTTTGATTGTCTCATCGGTATCCACTCAGTTTAACGTGTAGCTGAAGCAAGATTATAATTGAGAGCTATTTGTGATCCTCGCACACCAAGCATTGGATAAACACGTGCGCAAATCACTAGTGAGTTGCAGTGACAAACTTGTAGCAGGGGCATATATTCTATACATTATTAGAGCACATCTGATCCATCGTAGAAGTGAAACGTTGCGCGTCCGGTGCGAAGGTACAATGACTATGATTAGTAGAAGCTGACCATGTATATCTCAAGATGTACACACATTAGGCCTAGTGTACGCATGCGAAGGCTAATAGAACACAACAAAGGCATTCCGAAAAGTAATATATATATATGTATATATATATGTGTGTGTGTGTGTGTGTGTATGTACATATATAAATATATATATATATACATATATATATGTAGATGTATATGTATATATATATATATATATATATATATGTGTGTGTGTGTGTGTGT